CAAGACAGCCGAATTTCCAATTTATAACCAGAGAGAATCAATCAGCCATAAGCCAGGTGAATCAAGGAAAAGTAACTACATAGCATAGATTTTACAATTGGAAAACTATAAAGGAGGACACGCCATAAGAGAAAATGACTGTGATATATGGCAAAAATGGCCACAATACTTTGCAGTTCCTCCATCAAGATGTAGACTCTATTTCCCCACCTCTTAAATTTGGGCTGGCCTTGTGGCTCATCATGATTGATAGAACAAAGGAAGTTACAACCTGAGAGTTTTGCACGTGGGCCTCCACAGGCCTAACAGCTTTCAGATTGTTGGATGGTGAGAGGTATGTGGCCTGGTCATCCCCATTTTCTCTAACAATAGTGAAGCAACCACCGGACATGCAAAGGAGGCCATCCTCACTCACATACAGTCTCCAGTCAAGTCTCCAGCTGACCACAAACATGACTGAGCCTAGATATTCACCTGTCTACCTCAGCTCAGCAGAAGCACCTATTTGACTCATAGCTTATGTGCACTAGTAAGTGGTTGTTGTTTTAAGTCGCTATGTTTTAGGGAGTTTGTCTACAACAAAAGCTAACTAATAAAATGAGTGACCCTGGAAGCAAAAGAATCAGGCAGATCATGAAGCTAAGATGCCATTTGCAAATACCAATAGCCATTGCAAGTAGCAGCAAACTAAATAACAAAAAAAACAATGCATGACATAGTGATTGCTAATCACATCTACTTTTTATGTCACAGTCTAAGAGTCAGTAGTTGCCATTAATGGTATATTTTTAAGAGAAGAGAAGGCACATAATAAATTTTATCTGTAGTGGCTTGTTTTTAAAAATACAAGCAGAAAAATTACAAATAGCTACAGAGGCATCAACCCCTTGATTTACTGATAACAAATACTTTGTGATTCACTACTTCTCCAGTGCATCCTTCATAGAAAGCTAAGCTGGTAATGAGAATGTATAAGGCAGCTCTTCTTGAAAAGACTGAATTCAGCTCTTTCAAGCTTAGATATAACCTTTTATCTATGACCAGTTCCTATCACAATGGTATGTCACTTACAGTTTTTGTAGTGTGAAATAAGAATTATAGTGCGAAGGCCAAGAGAGAAAAGAACAAAGAGAAAAGGGAAAAATTGTTATGTCGACACTCATTCAATATTGAAGACTGGCATGCTTGAGCATGTGTCTTCCAACCTTTCTTACAAACCTCAAACTACTTCAAATTCTCTTGCTAGAGGGTGGAAGAAAGGATAGAGGAATGGATAAATGATAGAACTCATGTCCATACCAAATCCCACAATGACTGTTTTAAAAAAAAATAATCAGACAATGTGAGCATTTCATAAAGAAGGTTGCCTAGAAGCTGAGGTATCTAATTAAGTATATATTTTTCAGTACCTTAGAAAATCTATATACAAAGAAAAAAATAAGTTTAAACGCAGATCACTTCTAAGTTTCCAGAATTATACTTAACCAATCTTGTCCTTCTGGGAGTATGCTGGAGTCCAAGAATTATTTAAGACTAAAGTAACCATGGCATCTTCCACTTTCCTATGCTAATAGTTCTATCTGGCCCTTAAAATACACACAAACTCCTAAACCTGAAACCCAAGACTTTCCATTACCAAACTCTGGTGTACTAATCTCCATAAATGCAACACTC